GTGTATTACAACAGAGGCTCAGTGGTTTATATTGCACATTTGACCAGAATCTAAAATCTGTAAATGATTGGATTGATTGTTAAAATGTTGCAAATATCTGTACCTAATTTCTTTCTTTTATATCCCACTCAATCTCTAATTTAAAATTCTGACACTTAATTTAAAATGTTGCACTTTTTTTTCCTAAAAATATAAATAAAATAAAATAAAACTTTAGTGACTTAAAAATGTTATATTTTGTAAAGCTTACTGCTACCTTCTGCTGTCAGGGATGGTACTATGGCTTCTATTTTTGAACCAGTTTTCACAATAACCAATCTCAATTTTACTAATTAGAAAACAAAACTCTCAGCAGTTCATTGGTATGCATTGCTTAAACAGTAATTCTATTCAGATTTATTCTAATTTGTCTTAATTCTCTCCTCTCTCTCGCTAGAAAAAAAAGAAGCAAAAACTAATACTACCCGCTGATTATTACATGGCAGGTAATTCCGAATTCCTCTGAAAGAACAACAAAAAATTTAAAAAATCATTTGCATATCAACAGGATCTGATGTTGCTTGGAAGAAAAATCTATGTGAGAAAAAAATGAAAATAAAATTGTCAATATTTAAAAATTTCCTGTTCAAATTACATTTAAAAATACCCCCCCCCCCCTCCATGTTTATTACAGAGAACGCTGCGACAGCCCAGTCAGATGTAGACCGGACTAAACAATGGCTCAGGTTTGAAATAGCTTCCATTGCTCACTGGGAAAAATTAAGCTGTTTCACTGCAAATCAAGACCCAYAACAATGGGTGATAACTTTGTGATAATTGGCCCAAACTGAATACAAACAAACCCATTATTTCTTCTCCTCTGTCTGATAAAGCAGCAGTTTTATCATGAGGAGTTGCTCTAGGCTTCTATCATGTCTCACAGATTTTTTTTTTCTAGAGGAACAAAAGTCCAGTTCCCGACAGGTCATTGTGGAATTTTTGCTCAGTAACACCAGAAAAAAAAAATAAAAATAAAATTACTGCCTACCCCTTTCACTGAAATTTTCAACAGTTAAAAGGAAAAGAAAGATGCATATATTAGAATATGATTTGTAAATGTAATCTTGGAATAATGGTTTGCTTAAAATAATGAGGTTAATGTTGCATGTAAATAAGAAAAATAATTCAGATAATGTCTAAATTTTTTATTTTCTTTTTCACAGGAACTGTCCAATTAATGTTAAATTCCACAAAGCTAAGCAGTCATTACTAGTGGCCTTGGAGTAAAAAAGTTTAAACCAATGTGGGGGCATTCGGTGCCCCAATCTGGTTTTACAGTCCATAGTTTTTTTTATATTTTTTAAAGTGGCTAACTATGGAGCTGCAATCAGTATTCAATAACAGCTGTCAGAATCATCWCAATTTAGAAAAAGGCAGTGGAAATCTCATGAAGTAATTACATAATGAATTTCTGCCATCATAAGAACACCCTGTTTGGATTTCTGGCTCATTCGTTAGCTTGGCGATGCCTCAGGATGCCCTCGTGGCACTGTGCCGATCTTCGGGTTCGACAAGACTTAACAGACATTYCCACTGTAAGTTTTTCCCCCCGCATAAATTCTGTAAACCACGTAAGTGGTGTAGGGGTGAACACAATTATTTYATAAAGACAGCAGAAGACACGTAGAATAAATTGTGCTGGCTTGGATACAAGTGGAAAGTGATTTGACAGCTTTAGTAGTGCAAATTGCTGCTGTCCATAAAAAAACCCCGTCATTTTCAGAATGTTCAGAGTGGTTCATGCTAATGCTAATTTTAAAACCTTTACTTACATGTTAATTACAGATAGCATGGTTATTCACTTAGGATTCTGTAATATTTCTTATTAAAATAAGCTATTTATTTTAAATTGATGAGTTCATAAAATAATATTCACATATATCACTGGTATTTTATTTTTTCAATTGGAGTTTTTTTTTTTTTTATGGCAGCACCAGTGGTGGATATACTAACAATTAATTTGCTAAACAAGAATCTTAGCTCTGCTAACAGTAATTTAAAAATTAGAAGTTTGTCAAATACTTTATCTACCATGTTTTCTGTGTAGTCAAATATTTTAGTCATTATTTTAATATTGTTAAATATAATTTTCGTTTTGACGCTTAGTTTGAAGTTTAGCTGGTAAAGATGTGACATGCTACACACAGTGCCTGACATGACCAGCAGTGCTTGTAAGAGTGGATAGTTTTTATTTAGTCATGATGGCGTGAGAATAGAAGTTTAACACTAGTGGATTTTTTTTCTAGGATTGTATATTTAGCAGAAGCTAATTTACTGGAAGCTAATCCAGCCGCTAACAGTTTCCATTGTTAGCATTAAAGCTAATCTCACTTTTTTTGGCTTAATTCAAGTTCTCTTATTAAACATAGACATGTGTGGTATCCATATAAATTTCAGAATCTCGGCTAACTAAAAATAAAAATCATTTGGACGTCCTGCAGACAGTTAAAATGACAAGCAGCTGAAGTAAGCCTCTTGGGGCTTAAGAGGTTAATTCATTCAGAACTGATTTCTTCAAACTGAGGTTTTTCAAAGATGTAGAAGAAGACTACAAATATATTGTTTGTTCGTAAATCTTGCTTCAATGACTTTTTGAAAAAATCAACTTGAACAGCAGTAGTACGGGGGGAAAAAAAGAAAGAAATGTTTCCAGACTCATGTTTTATCATGTTATATTTTTAATTTCTGCAGAGACAAAAATGACAAGCAGTTTATTTACACAAACCTGTACAAAAGCAAAATTAAATTATGTAAAATATCTCATAAATAGAAGTGGACTTGCGTTCAATACACTTTGCCATGTTCAGCTAAGCTGCGTGCATAGTGACTCATATTAAACGATGATAAGTTTGTTCCTCAGTTTCTATATCAACATCCAAGTCGCAGGACAAATAGTTAATGGGTAATATTACAAAATCTCATTACACACTGTGAATGCTTGACRGATACAGGAGAGAGCAGCTTCCGAGCACACACCTCAGGGGGCCGTGCTTTCTGTCGAGCATTAGGAACTCTAGCACCCATAGTCGGGCTGATTTTTGTCTTCGTTACTTCAGTGTATCCATAATTAACAACCCGCTGAGCGTATCATTGCTCAGACAAAAAAAGATTACGCTTAGTGGAGTTGCCAGCGTATGGAAACATGTCTTTCGCTTCTCTTCTTTTGCACGCACAGGAGTTTCTGTCTTCACCTTATCTGATGTCAAAACTCAAAGCACCACCTTGCAGTATCACAGGAAAGCCCGCAGCACGCTTATTTGTCGGGCCCGGTTTCATCACCGTAATCTCTGAGATATGCATATACCGTAAAGTTGCACGACACATCCCGAGGTGTGTATTCTGTCAGCTGCTCTCCCTTACAGTATCCCCCCCCCACACCCCCACCCCACACACCCTCCCTGTATTCATGCCTCCTAGTAAACCGTCACATTAGCATTTTTATCTCTCCGCTCCCTCAACTCAAAGCAGTCAAATGTCTCTGGGCATTTTCCTTTTTTCCTTTTTTTTCTCCCTTGTATTTTATTTCCTGTCCTGTGTCGTTCACAGCTTTTATATTCAGTCCTAGAGCTTGTTTCATGCACAAAGAAGGTTACTTAACCTTTCGATGACACATGTACATGAGCAAAACACGACTAAAAAGAAAAAAATAATCCATAAAATCATTATTTCCACCAACAAGCAACTTCTTGAATGGGCTGGTACTCATTCGGCAAAAGCTAGGAATGGGTATTTGACAAGGTAATTGATCCAAGTGAACAACAGCTACTGAAGAGTCAAGCCCATGGGTTCACTGACATTTGACCAGTCAWCCTTCTAAAAGAAGCAGGAAAACAAATAAAAACAAACAAAAGAAAAAAATCTTTTGACATCATGGGATTTCATCAAAGATATGCAAATGTATTTCAGTCCTTAAATGCCACCCCATCTAGTTCTGTGAGCACGTCAGTGTAATTGTTTTTGCACCATTCCAGACCAACATTTAATCATACCGATTGGTATAAAAAGGCACAATTGCATATTTGCATTCACTCTAATTTTTTATGTATTTTTTATGTATTTTTTATGTATTTTTTTCTTTTTTTTCTTGTTTTTGTTTCAGAAGCACTCTAAATATACAAAGTGACACAAGATTAAAAACAAGGAAAGTAAAGCACGGAACATTTTTATGATCATTTCCACGGATTGACCTGTTACTGTGCATTAAATCAGTGGGCGTGATTAATAAATGGGTACATAAAAAATAAGTGTAAGGTTCTTTAATGGCTACAATTATTTAATGAATAAAATCATTCAAATGGTTTAAAATAATAAATGGGTAAAGTTGATCAGTTGGTAAAATTTTTAAATGATTACAATTAATCAGTGGATAAAAACTCATTTTTAGATAAAAATCATCAATGGGTAAAATAATAGATTGGTAAAATTATTAAATGGGTAAAAGTAGTCAAAAGGCAAAAGTTACTATTGGGAAAATAAATCATTGGGCAAAAATATATACTTTTTTATCTACTCTATTGATGTAAATTTGATGTAAAACAAAATAATTGTGTATGATTTGAGAGACAATCAATGCTTGGTCTAAAAAATGGGTGAAAACAAAAAAAAAAACCAACAGTATAGTACTGATTGACGTACTGAGTTGTGTTACACGGGTAATGCCCCTTCAGCCACAAACAAATGCAAGCAACAAGATGGGTTTCCATGTTTACCAGGAAACCTTTTTTTGTACATTTTGTTTTACAGATTTTTTTTGTTTACGACCTCTTTCTCAGTTAAGTGAAGTTAAGTTCCCATTAAACGTGCAAGTAAAAAGTAAATATTTATGTATACAGTTGATAAGTATAGGAGCACTTTCTTTCACAAGTAGTACTTACAGACTATAGATTGCCGGAGTGCGTAAAAAGCGCCTCCGGTCCAACCGAAAAAGGAGTTTTGTTAACATACAAAAAAAGTTCAATTGCATCTGWTATTCTTTTTAATTACAGTGATGAGATTTGTGCCTGTGCAGCTGCAAAGAAAAAAAAAAGAAAAACCCAAACAGTATACAGAGAGGCACAACATCTCAACATTTCGAGTGTTAAGCATCAGCTCTGACAGTTTTATGGGTGTTTTGTTGTGACATCACATTCTTATCAATCAATCCATCCTTAGAAAATGAAAAAAAGGGTACATAAGGAAAAGGTGTCCAACAAAGCATCTTTCTTTATATGTGTGAAATGGGAACGCTTCATCCAGTTTGGGAAGCTTTGGTTTGACTTTGACACCAAATTCGTCAGCGCATGAGCTGAACACCTCCAGGTGTCTGCTCGTACAAAAGTTGCTTTTTGATTGTTCTTACGGAGCTGATTCATACATTCATGCAAAGAAATGCAACAACGAGTGTTTAAAGGATTCTTTGACAGAGGTGTGTGTGTGAGGGCCAATGGAATCTTGAAGGCTTTAAGAAAGAGTGGGAAAAGAGGTTGATGCTTGTTGGCCGCATATACGATTATGCTTTTTATTGCTCAGTCCTATAACACACATACAAAAAAAATAAATAAAAGAAGTACAAAACACTGTCCTTGCAACTGTTTAGGACCAACTCGGACATAATTATGGTTTTTCTTTTCAGTCTATGATGGATGTATAGACATATACGTCCATATGCAAAATTTCCACCGTCCATCAGTAATCACGATCTTATCACAAAAACACCACGGTGACCCAGAATTATGATCAGTATAGCAGCAGAAATCTCCTCGGCTAAATAAATCTGTTTCTGCATATGGGTCTCCATGTTTGCTTCACCAAAGCAGATACTTGGTATAAATAATACCACTTCACTTAATGTGATCCAAAACTGAACAACACCGTGCTCTTTGAGTTGATGTGATTGTAGGCATAAGGTCTTGCATTTCTCAGGAGGCGTTTGGTCTCATTCTCGCCAATCAAAGACAAATAATGAGAGAGTGCGTAAAGGTAGGAACTGGGAACAAAAGGATATGGGAGCACTTAGCGCTGTCACTATAGTCCAATGCTTATGTACAATGATCGACACCTGTGAGAAACGCTCACATTGTTGGTCAGTCATCACATAGTTCATCGTAGTCCATAAGCTGGGTCGTGGTTCAGCCAAAGTGTAGTTTGCAGCAAATTCCTTTGGCTTCCATTTCTACCCAAGAGTCTTCATATCAAAAAGAGGACAGAGTACTTTAAAGCTTAGTCTTTTCCGATCCTTTTTAAGACTCCGAGTTGGTCAACTTTTGGTTTGCATCTTCAACTGCAAACACTCAAGATGACAGATTTCGTGGTCCAGTGTGGTCAACCACAAGAATCCATTCACTACAGAGCATCTTGGCCTGACTGTTTGTTGCATTTTTCGAAAATTAAAAAGGCATATCCAGAGTAACTTAAAAAAAAACAAGTCAGCAGTTTCCTTGTACAACTTTGATTCGAAAAAACAAACAGGGAGAAAATAACAAAAACAAAATATGGGTTCATTTATACAGTGTTTTAAAAGAAAGGGACCCCTGATGGGAACATGGATTACTCATGCGTGTGCTGTATATCTAAAATGAGTTGATTAACTGTACAGATTGACTGTCAGGCAGCAGACTGTCTCCCAAGGGCGCAACTCATCAGTAGAATAGTTCTCCTCCTCTACTACTCCTCATAAGGGCCGTATACAGCACTTTAAAATGGTACGATGTTTGTATATCCAYTCAAATTTTACAGCAAGACATTTGCGTAAAAGTCTTTGGAGAAAGTTTAGTCCTACTCTGTTTGGCAAAAAAAAATGTCTAGAGCTGTAACATTATGGGTAAGCAGCTATCCTTAGTAATGTATTTAAATGCCTCAGGTTGCGGCGCTTGAGCTTCATGTAGGTCTTCAAGCTCACAGGTACACCTCCCGTCGTGTCAAGGTACCGCAGGACGTGGGTTTGTATTCTCCAGTGGGTGCAAGGGGGATCTCCTCAGTGGGGTGTCCCAGTGTCTCCTCGACACCTCCCGCGGAGCTGTAGGAAGGTGAGCCAAAGGCCTCGTAGGAGGAAGAGGAGGAGGCCATCTTCTTGTTGAGCAGGTTGCGATTGCGGTCTCCCATCATGTGAGCGGCTGTGGGGTCCCCGTTGGCCATGGCGGCCATGGCAAGGGTCTCTTGGCTGCCGGGCTGCTCGACGCTACTGCTGCTGCTGCCRTTTCCAGTCATGAAAGTGGAAAGCTTTGGTTGTTGGGGGTTGGATGTCGACTTGGATGGCCGTCGCTCTGGCGACGTGCGCACGGGCATCCAGCAGGAGTCCGAGTGGCCGTACTCGTTGCACTCCCTGGTGCACTTGCCAGTCATGGCTACGTCAGGCAACGGCCGGGAGTCTACAGGAAGCAGAGAAGAGAAGAAGAAGTAAGTCATTACAGCTTGTTTAATTAAAAAGAGAAATGTATTTATGAACAACTAAAAGTATGTGTCTATTGTGGTATGTTTTCACATTTGCCTACTATAGCCTATTTTTTTGTCTTCTAATGATGTCATAACTATGTCTAAAGTTTATGTTAAAAATGTAAAAAAAAAAACTTGTCACAATTATTACCAAGCACACATTTCCACAGCTCATGAAAACTCAAACTTGTATTACTAGAGAATACAACAAAGCTGTCACCAATAAAGCTGCATTTGTTTTCATGCAGGAACAATACCACATGACAGAAACAGTAACAAATATCAACAATGAAAAGAAGATACTATTGGCTACGACAACAGCCTCAAACGGAGAAAAGAAACAAAAAAAGTGGAGTGAATCAGAGTTGAAATAATGTCATGCTTCAAAACGCATTTGTGCTGTGAAGGGAGAAGGTASGGAAGGAGGAGAGGGGGAGTAAAGGAGGCAGCAATGAAAAAGTGAAGAGGTCAAAGTGTGTTTTCGGCTTTTGCCTCATCTAAAATTCAAGCTGCTCTGTATGAGTGTGCTCGGTAGGTGGGAACACCGTCAACACCCTGTTTTCCTGCTTTTGCTGATTGACAGACGGCAATCACATTCTCATCTAAGTAGCTTAATAGCTTTGTGGGGGCTCAGGCGCTCGGATATCCTCGTAAATCCACTAATAGTGGTCTTAACCAATTACCTATCGGAGCACTAGCCTCAGATTAACTGTGTTTATTGCATTATTGTGGAAATCAAATTATGTGCTTACAATGCCACATTGGGGAAAGCAGGTTAGCYGGAAGCCTTAGGGTTGAATGCAGTACCATAACACTTTTTGCGATAAGTTAAAAGCTRTTTAAACCAGAGGTACAAACCAAAGCTGAACTGGTCAAATTTAAAGTGGTAACTGTTAGGAGGGAGGAAACAAGACAACTTAGCCACAGTCTGACAGCCTTACAATGAWAAAGTGCCAGAGGTATCCTAGAGGTGTTTTAGGGATGCTTTGTTAAATGTGTTTTTTTAAATAATGGACCTGATGAAAAAGCAACGTCAAGCAAAAGTAAAAATGAGTGCAAACCAAGCCAAACATGCTTTTGCTCAGAGTAAAAAAATAAAAATAAAAATTTGGACCATGGCTTACTTTTAATGCTCTTTATCTCCTGTAAAAGAAAAAAATAAAAAAATAAATCATTCTTTAACTCTTTATTTTGCAATAATAGATTTTTGCAGCACTGACACTGGGACTTAAAAAAAACACGTGGATAACGACATCAAACACATGATTGAGAACACAATGCAGCTGAGACGACGACAGCAAAGGGAGAGAAGATGGGGGGAAACGAATGAGAATCTTCTGAGGTTCTGCAGAATTCATTTTTTTTTCTATTTTAACACCAAACCAATMATTTTTGTTGCTAAAAATGGGAAACTTTTAAATAAAAATCAACTTCAAGAGTGCCATTCCCCTTGGTTACGCTACTAAAAATCTTAGCCTCTACTAGAATTCATGTCCATGTCAAAGGTTGCCTTCTAAAACACTAACTACTGTGATGACTGCCAGTCACAATAAAGCTGATATCTTAGAGATAGACTGCAACTCATTTTGGCTATTACCTTTCTGCTCACCCAGCTCCCCACAAAACGATAAGTCCTTCAAGTTGAATGATTTGCAAAGAGATGAAAAGGTACAAAAAAAAAGAAACTTAAAAAAATTAAAAACAGACATGTAACTGCAATCACAATTAACATGCCAGCTGATGTGATGAAAATGACAACTGTGGCTTTGGATCACAGCATGTCTCTCCCTCCTTTTTTATTTCTTCTCTCTGCTTCAGATTGACAAGCACAGCCATCAAAGAGACGAGCAGATACCAGGTACAGCCTGCCTCTCTCATTTACTCCAACAATTGAGCCATCAGTCTACCCACAATGCACCAAACTCTCTTGAGACATCTGTGCCCTGCTCCTGGATGCTCTTACTGGAGGCTCCCTTGATATTCAGACAAAGTAGTAAAAAAAAAAAGCAGGCAGTGTACATTACTTTGTTAAGCAGCTAACCATTAGCACCACATATCTGCTAGTTAGTCAGAAGCAGACTAACCAGTCAATAATTTGTGTGTTGTGCACACAGACCACAGACTCCACTGGGGTTATACATTAGGCTAATTTTTCGAAGGAAAAATGGGTTTCCACCAATCTTTGTCTCTACTCATTGACACATCATCACATGACTTGCCCTTTTCAGCTACCATGCAAAATCATTTTGCTGAAAGTTCCTAATTAAAAACAGCTTATTTGGTCTTGCTTGATTCAACGCAAAAAATGTAAGAAAGTATAATAAAAGGAACTTCATAAATTAAATAAAAAACTGAAATGTTATGAAGTATTTGTTTATGAAGACATTGCTAACTTAAAAATCTGCTAGTTTCTGCTAAATGAGTTTTTAAATTTAGTTTATTAATATAAAGTACACAAAAAACAAGTGTTAAACTTCTATTTTTATGCCTTTTAATTAAACAAAATAAAATAAATATTCCCTCATACAAGCAGTGCTGAATGTGTCAGGCACGATATTGTAAAGTAATTAAGTACAAACACTTGATCTGTACCTTACCCGAGTAATTATTTTTCAGCCTACTTTTACTTATACTTCTTACAGTTTAACACAATTATCTGTGCTTTCTACTCCTTACATTTAAAAAAGTCAAAAAGTAAAATGCCATTAGTCCCATTTCATTTTAGGTTGTTCTCATTTCRATGTATTATTGTTAAAAAAACTAGAGAAATTGGATAAAGTGAATTTAAATGTGGTTGAATGAGAAGTATAAATATATTCCATTCTGATACCATGTTACTGACCTCAAAAATGACCCCACCCACCTTCAAATTGAACCAATAGAAAATTAATAACGTTCKAATCAGTCCCACCAGTCCTCAACTTGAAGGGGGTGACAGTCGTCTTAGTGGTTAGCATTAGCTTCCCCAACTTTTTTTAATCAGTTTAGTGGTTCGTTTTAGCAGAGCTGTTACTTACTGTTACCACTGCTGTTACATAAGCCTGCTCAAAACCTAAATCAGAAATCAAGATCTAGTCAATAGGTTTAACGAAAAAATCCCCTAGAGAGCACAGCCCATTCTGAACTTTTGTTACTTTCAAACACCTCCCAAGCCCACAATACAGCTACAACATAGCACAATACATGTGGGTCACTCTGCTATGTAAATAAAAACCCCGATACAATGCTGAAAAACAAACAAGGAAGCCTCCTCACCCTAGGTTACACTCCCTGGGATCAAACCTTAACTAAAAGCTTGGAGCTGCTATAACATGGCCTCTGTAGGCCTGCTTTTGTCATTGCTGGAAGGCAACAGCTTTTAGCTAAGTGACAAGAGGTTTTTTCATAGAGGCAGCTAAAAGGCCACTTACATTTACTCAAAAGAGGATTCTGAGAAATTAAGAGGAGTGTTGATGGTGAATAAAAGAGTGATTGACATTGGTTAGGAGGGAGAATTGGTAGAACAGACAAGCAGCAGCTTTTGCTAAGATATTGTGCACGTCCAAGGTAATAATTACGCCAAGATGTCTCTGTAAAGCAGAGCTGAGAGATAATAGTTCCCTATGCTTTTGCATTTAAATACTTCAATAATTCTATAAGAAAGAATTTTCTTTATTAGAGTTAGGAAGCTGGCGGAAACTAGGCCAATGACTGCACCGTTTCAGCTGATGCTTTTCTTAGTTGGCTTTAGTCAGCTATCTAATCAGCTGACTAGCTTATATTATGCAGATATTTATTATATGTTTATAAATTTATTGTAACTCCACTAGCCCCTCTTTCACTCCTGTCCCGAGGTGTGTCTCAGATCAACTTGTTTCCATGCAGTCTCTTTAAATCTAAACAAGGAGGTTCTCCCCCACACCCAGCTTCCAGACCGTTTTTTTTTTCTAGTTTGATCGGGGGGGGGG